AATATTCTTAGCTGCCAAACAGATTTTATTCTAACTCTAAAGATGTTTTCTGTGCCAGGTGATTGAGTTATATATTATGAGCTTGGAAAGCTGTATTGGAAAGGTGTATTGCTTATTACAGCAGGTGATTGTTTAACAAAGTGTATCAATGTGGATGCAGAAAGATTAAACATCTGCTAGATGCAATGAAGAAGGAAGTCCAGCAATAACCTAATTTTTGGAATAACATAAATAACTGCAGAGCTATGCATTCATACTATTCTTCCAGACTGGGTTTCTTTTTTCCAAAATATTTGTAGTTGTAAAATGAAAATACGTTTTTTCACAGGCATAGTAATAAATAGGCATGAAAGTAGAAACTATATATACATGTAATATGTAGGTAGATATAAACACTTTCAAGTTTTTGTAGGAGTAACAAGTATGTATTGTTAAAATGACTTTGTATTGGTTATTGTCTGTGGCATCCAGTAATTATGAAGGATGATGGCACAGATGAGTGCTTTGCTTTGTGTATTTATGCACAGGCTGGATGTGCCGTACGTTTTTGTCCAGAGCTCTCCAAGTTTGGCACTCTCTGAACATTTTGCTGTGTTCATCCATGTACACAGACAGTAAATGCAGGACTCAGGTGTTCCTTCCACCTCACAATTCAGGCCAGTGGCAGAAAGGAACTGACACCACCTAATTCCCTGTCCAGTTCTTTTCGCTGGGCCATACTGCCTTCCAACATGTAAAACTAACTTCATACAGTGATTACAAAGTTGACACAGCCAAAACTGATCTGTGCTGTTGCATGCTGATCATGCTTCCCTCTTTTTTTTTCAGTAGATCCAGGAGGGTAGGACAGTTTCAGACCTCCTACTGCTCAGCTGTTCCTGCTGTTTTGGTTTGGCAGGGATATTGTAGTGTCTCCATTATCAAGCCCTGTTTTCACATTGCACATGACTGGTATTTGAAAAGTCCTTCAGTTATTAAATCTTTGCAGAATTCTCTAGCCTGACCCCACTCCTAACAGTGGAAGAGAAAATTGATACAGAATATAGTAATTTGTGAGAAGTGAAGAAACCCAATCTTATTGTCTTCAGGCTTTGCTCTCTTTAAAAGAAGGATTCATTTTGAAATTAAAAAATGCATATTGCTGCATTTGCAACCAAAGGATGCTTACTGATTCAGTAGATCTTCAGACGTTTATATGAAATGAAAATTCAATTTTTAATTTTTGTATTTTAGGTGCTCTGGGGTTGATTCAGACCATGTTGGTTCTTCAATAGATCTGTCATGTACAAAGATGTTTGGCAATCAATCATAGATTCTGACTGACGAAATGGTACTTCAGAAATCAAGTTTGGGTCAAATCAAGGAATTTGATCTGTATGACATTAGTTTGACTTGGTGCAAGTCAAACAAGGTAGCACATTATAAGCTTGAATCATAAGAGAAACATCAGCTAGGAGGTATTGAGTATGTTGCAAGTAATATGGATGAGACCTACACTGTATGTTACGTAAAATGCAGTTGATATAACATAATTTAGTGTTAAAATATTATATTTTACCACAGTAGCCACTATATACTGAAGAGTCATCATCTTGGTTCACTTTTGTATAAAGCAGTGTTGTTTGATTTTAATTTTAGTAAGGTAAGATTTTTCTTATCAGCATGAAATCCCTTCTCTGCAGAGATAAAGATGTCTGCGCTCTGTTCCACAGATAAGGAAAAAAATTCCACCTCTAACCAGACCCAGGTTGCCAGAAAAAAGTATAATTTTAAACCCTAAAGCTTGGCTGCTGAGGCATTAAAACCGTTGTTTCTGTATAATTTGGATGCTGTGAGTTTGAGTTGCAGCTCCACTGTGATCCCTTAGATATCTCCCCTGCTGGAATCCAGTGAGTCAAAGGGTCTCTGGAGCATGTCTCTATCAAGTCAGCTCTTCTGCTCCTCTGGACTGGCAGTGCAATTGTCCCTTTGCCACTGCATCAGTCTTTGCTGTGACCAGAAGAAAGCCTTTGTTACTGCAAGAGGTGCAGTCTGGTTTCTTTACAGTCTTATGGTGGCAAAAACCTAAAACAGGTGCTCAGATTGAACAGTTCTTTGGCTTCCATTAGAATTGTTCACCAAATTGCCAAACCTTGATGGTTTTATTTGTTTTGTTTTTTTTTTCAAATGAATAGGACTTAAATACCTTGTCTTAAACATATGAATGGAAACTAAGATGGAAATTTTTTTGACACTGCTCATCCTTCATATGGGGGAAAGAAGGGAATCATCCTAGGTGGAAAAATGCAGCGACACAAACTACTAGGTCTGAGTACATATTTCTTGAGGTGTCTTGGGAAAGCCCTCCCCAAGACAGGAATAGTACACTGCTGAAATGGATAGATATCTTCAGGCAAGTGAAGTGTCCAGGGAGGGAGAGTCATTGGCCCACCCCAGTGCTATCGTCTCTGCAGTGTAATTGTTGAAAACCATTTCTGAAATCAGTGAGCTTTGTATGTCTGCCTCAAGAAGGCACTGAGATCTGGTATCACATAAGTATATCTGAGCAAAAATGGTGCAGTATGTGCTTTGCTGTTGTGTAAGTAAAAAATTGAGATGTGATTTATCATGGCTTTTTGAAGGACTTGAGATAATGATCTCACAGTGTAAGAATCAAAAGTAAAGAGAAAAAACACATCCTGCATATAAATTACCAGGAGTTTGTCATCTCTTGCTGTTTATACATGCTCTGATATATATTCAAGCACAGACAAGCTTTTAGTTGGTTTCAAGTTTCACCTTTGTCGTCAAATAAAAAGAAGCTGTCTCAGATGTTAAAATATTTTTTCTTATTTATACAAATGCAAACAAAAAATAATTTTACTTTTTCTCTGTTCCTTGTGATTTCATATAATGGAGCAAAAGTGTGCTGATGCACTACGTGACTGGTGCTGTTGTAAGAGGGAAGGAAGAGGCTTTGTGATTTAGGCAGAGCCATTTGGGTGCTGTTTTTATTGTGCCTGTACTGCCCACATCCTAGGGGCTGCTGGTTCTGTCCATGTCCTGTGCAGCTGTGCCCAGCAGGCAGTGCCTCTGCAGGTACAAACACATGCTGCCCTCCGGCAAGGAAGTGCCCCAGATGGCACCTCTGTGTCACTTCATCCCTTAATTCACTGCAGGGCTCCAGCCCCACAGACCCAGCAAAGCTCACTAGGTGAATTTGTACCTGAAGAGAGCCCCTGCAGCACAGCACATGAATGTGGGACATTCTTGCTTGTGCCAGGCAAGGCAGAGCTCTGCTCAAACATGCACAGAGTCGTGTTCCCATCTGTCCCAAGGACAGAAAGCTTCTTGTTTAATCTTGGGTCTAGGGCAGACCCAGGAAACCACATGAAAAAAAAGCTGTTGCTTGCTCCTCTCCATCAGGCTTGAGTTCTGAGGAATAAAATAATAAAGAACACATGTGTGTAATTAAAATACAAAGGAAATAGGAAGGGGGATAGTAAGGAACTCTTGAGCACTGTAATTACAGACATCTGATTTTAGTGAAGGAATTAGAGGACTCTGAATGACTTAGCCCTGTAGCCATTCTTAATCTTGAGGGAAGGGAGAGTGTATTCATTGGGGGTTGCTTTGTTTGTTTTAAATTACTTATGTTTTCACAGCAACTTTATCATCATTTTCTTGGTAGTAAAACCTATGGTAAATCTGCAACACAGTTTCCACAGAAATTTCTATTATAAAGTTCACAAATGTAGTTGAAATAATTACCACTTCAGTGCTAAATTCAGTGTTCTTTTAGGAAGACCCCAGGAAATATGTTTAGCTAAAATAAATATCTATCTTAATATTTCCATGTGGCAAGAAACTTATGAATAAGTTTGAATTTATTTAAAATATTGTCTTTAAACTGTCTATAAATTACATGATGGATAAGGATTTTAGTGTGGTATTCATTAAATTGCTTGAGTCATTTTTAAGTAGTACCTGAGATGGTTGAAGCTGAATGGACTTGACATACATAGGACACTTCTAACACATTAAAATAGTCAGTGGAATTCACCAGAGTACAAATCCTTCATCAGAAACTGCTCAGTCTCCTCTATTTTGTATATTTCCTTGGGAAATTGCCCTTTTTTTACTGCAAGGAGTGTCAAGGAATCTCCAGGCATAAGCTCTCATAAAGTTTGCTTCTTCTTTCTTTTCTCCTTTCCTCACCATTTCCCACAGATTTTTCCATACAAAAGGCTTATTTGCATTTAAGGATTCTTTATATATACCAGATGGGATTTCTGTGCCAAAAGCTAAATAATTTTTGATTAACTGATACAAGCCTGGAAAACGTGATGAGATGATTGCAAAGAAGCTTTTTGTTTGTTTGTTTGTTTACAACAAGTTAGATTTTTGTTTATAATATGCTAGTGAAAGCAAATTTTAACTAGAGAGCATTTGGAAGGAGAATAAGTACAGTGAGAGAAAGCTGAAAAGAATAATAAAAAATAAAATGATCATAGGAAAAAGGAGTAAATCTAGTTCTATGCCATGTTTATATTTCTGGAAACCTGGACTGAAACAGGTTTGTTGTCACATACAAAAATATAATTTTACGTTTTTGAGGTTTGGGAGCTTTTTGTTTTTCTTTGTTGGTTGGGTTTTTTTAAAAAATAAGCTATCTAATAAGTATAAGTTCTTGCTTCTGCAATGAGTAAATGAAATGGAGACATAAAAGGATAGTGCACAAGAAATTTATCCGAATATGCGGTTGTGAACTCAGATTTGTTTTGCTGCCAAAAACTGGTTTTATATTGATGGAGACTTATGATAAATATGTCCTCAGAAGTCCATGGAAACACGAACCACTGATTTGTATTTCTCTGTGTTTTCAGTTGAAGCTCAGTGTTTTTCTTGTGTCATACAGTGATTATTACACAATACATGGGATATGTGAAATACCTGAAGATTGATTAAATTTGAAGGATTTAATGTGATTTATTTTTTTTTTTCCCCTCTTGTATCTGCAGAAGAAACCTTACAAAGCTGTCTCTCATCTTCAGCCACATGTTAGCAGAAATCAAGGCTATTTTTCCAAATGGACAATTCCAGGGTGATAACTTTCGCATCACCAAAGCCGATGCTGCAGATTTCTGGAGAAAATTCTTCGGAGATAAGTAAGTAACTTTTGTAAAATCCTCAATTCTTTCTAATCATAAGCATGAAAAAATGAACTTTTCATAAATACAAATAAGGGTTGGTGGGTGTTTTGAATATAATTTCTCATCCAAGTCTTTAAATTGGCTGAAATTCCTGAGTTCATTGTTAGTGTTTTTTTTTTTTATTTCAATGCTGTAACTTGCATAAAGGTAATTCTGTCAAGGCTACTTCAGTCTTACTGAAAGAAATTTTTGTTCTATTATAGGGTGAAGATAGTACATTGCTTTTACAAAGTATATGGCAAATCATGTCCTTTTATATATATATATATATTCTACAGAATAATTATATATATTCTACAAACAAAAACTCTAAAGTCTAAATTAGGAACTTGATATTAGTTTCATGGACCGTATGTTTCCTTATCTCACCTTTAACTTTCTAGCTACTACAGTATTTGGTGGAATGAAGTATGTGAAGTGTAGATACGTGATTTAATCCATATAGGAAATGCAATGGTGAAAAAGTAAAAGTAGGCATACGTGAGATTTTTGGTTTGTTTCTGGGAAAAAAAACCCATTTAGAATACACATGTAAGCTAATAAAAGATGTGAAGCTTGTTCACTTTCTCATGTGGAATTTTTGTAAATGAAACAGTGACATAAGAGGACTGCCAGAGGCAATAGATTGGTGTATTTTTCATTATAGCAGAGCAGTCATTATGGTCATCAGCTCTTGTATCTTGCACAATGTTGGCAGAACAATTTCTGGAACAATCTGTTGCATCTTCTGAGCATAAACAGCTCTTTAAAATAAGTCGTTTTTTATTTAGAATACCAGGTTGGCACTTTTGCAAATCAGTTCTGTTCAGTGTGAATTTACAAGTTTCACTTCCATGTTTTTTTTGTTAGTCTAAACACACTGTCAGCTTTCCTCTTTCTGGGTTCATGGTAGTGTTTTCTGGTAATTTCTTTCCCATGTAAGTAATGTTGGTGTGATGAAGTTGCTATATCAGTCCTCTGTTTTGTTAGAGAAAAGGAATTTAACCGTGTTCCGTGTTACCCGTTTTTACGTGAATATAATTTTCAAAATAACTTCAAAAGTTCAGTTAAAGTTTTCTGGGGGATTAACTTAAGTGACGTGTAGGGTTCTCTATCAGACAAGGTTTTTAAAAACATGTCAGTCAAGAAAAGAAAAACAGGATCTCTGATCAAATGACTAATGATCATGTTTGTTCAGTGTTGCTATTTTTTCTTCCTCTCTTTTTCCCCTTTTCTTAGGAACTCTCAGAATTTAAATTTTGTTGTGGTACTTTTTTTTTCCTTTTGGGCTCTGTCCTTGAATGACCTTTAGCAGATGTCTTGATGGCAAATTGTGTTTCTGTCATTGGGATTTACAGATCTCCTTCTCTGCATTCTGCTGTTTCTATCATTTCATCTGAACCAGTTTCCTCAGCTCCCCTATTCTCTGTGCTGTTCCTCTTTGGGGCTCTCAACTGACTTCTATTGTCTGTGTGAGATTCAAGAGATTTCCTTCAAGTTTCCTTCCATGGTCCTCCAATTTCCACTGGGAGATGACACAATAGATAGGTATTTGAGGTGTCAGACAGTGGGATACTGTAACATATTTATATGTTCTTATCAGAACAAGATTGGTAAGGAGAATCTTTTAACTGCATCACTCCATCTGAACAACTCAGCTCTACCCGTGTCTTTTTTTGTGCACACTTAACTCTTACCTCTTCTGGAGGTACTCATCTCCTGGAGCTCTTATTTCTAAAACCTTTCATGGCCTCAGTGCTGTTGCCATGCCTTTTCTAGGCTTTGGGGTTTTTTCTGCTTATGCAAATTTCTGCATAGAATGCAACTTAAAATATGAACCTTCAGTATAAACCCTCTGACCTCTGCTCTCCTCTGTGTACCTTGATAAGGTTTTTTTTTGTGTTTGGGTTTTTTTGTTTGATTGTTTTTCAGGGAGGGTGACTGGATGTTTGGGTTTTGTTGGCTTGTTGCCTAATACATTAATGCATCAAAAATACCTAGGAACCAAGGCAGTTTGGTGATATCCAGTTAAACATATGTATTTTTGGTTTGTAGTATAGGCTGAAAATTTTTTTGAGTTATTTCTGGTCAGGTGCTTTACTTTCAGACCAAGTAAATAAGCACTGTTACTGGTGTTCCCAGCTCTTCTCCAATAAAGTGAAGCTGGTTTTGCTGCCTGTCTTCTAAGCAAGGAGCAGTAGATCTATGCTTGGCAGCCTTGCCATTATCTCAGGTTTAGTTAATTGTGCTTAAGTAACTATAAAACATGTAACAGCATATATGTCAAACAAACAGATGAGAAAAAAGTTTATTTGGCATTATTTTTAATCTCTTTGTTAAACAAAATGCCTGAAGCTTTTTAAACATTAATTATTTTCTAATCCTTTTAGAAATATATGGCAGGTATGCCTGTAAGCCACATCCTTTACAGTGGGCCTGTTGTGACAAATTAGTTTGTGAATATGCTGGTATCACTTCCTTAAAAGCAAAGCCTGCATAAAGGTTTTGCAAACAGCCCATGATATCTTTCTCTAACCTGGCCATCCAAAGGTAGGCCTCTAGGACTTTCTGAAAGCCCCAACTCTGCTTAGGCAGTGCAGTGAAGGATTACAGGGAGGAACTTGATTGTGTGTTCCCTGGCTGCATCTCTGTTTTACAGGGCAAGCCTGGACCCCTCACTTGTTTCTGAACAGCAGCCCTTACTTTGGGTCACTGACTAACGCTGCTCAAGATTACAGCATAAATAAAAAGTAAGTTGTGCTGGATCTTGGCTTCTGATGGTAAATTGTAGTACTAAAAATATTTCTATTGCAGTTTGTTCTGATTGGAAGGAGGGAGTTTGAAGTATTAGATGAACTTATAATTTTTTCAACATAGTATTATCATTAAAACTTTCCTGTTTCTAAGCATAATGAATTGGATGCTTTTTTTATAGAATCAAGCTTTTGCACTCATTTCTTTCTGAAATCAATGTTTTTAATTTTTTAATTTGAAATATTTTAAATATCAAGAAGACTATCACCAATAGTAATTTATATTTTTAAGTTGGCTTTCAGTTTTTGAAAACATGACCTACACTTCCTTTTAGAGAAAGCAACATGTTACAGTTTGCTGAGGACTGAAATCCAAAACACAGTTTTCATGAGTCCAGTTTGTACTTTAAAACAAAAAAGGAGCAATTTTTTTTCCCACTGCTTTTTTCCAGTGAATGGGGAACTTTTAATTTTGTTGGTTACATTTTTCCGTCTGCACACTTGCTGCAAAATTGTGCAACTGCAACTAAGTTAATTTATCCTGTTACTAATAAATTTCATAGTCTGCAGGCTTTCTTTTTTGTGTTTAGAGCTAGTCAGGTGTAAATTCATGTGGCTTCAAACTTAGGAGCAAAGTGAATGGCCAGGCTCTTTCTCACCTTGGAGCATACATTTAGCTGCTCATTGCATTTCTGTTGAAAATACTGTGTAGAACTCAGCAAGCAATTTGAATGCCTCCCTCATAGCAAAGTGCTGAGATAACCACATACTCTTGGCCTTCAAATACCTTCTTAGTTTTCACATTTCTGGTACACCCCTAAAAAACTTCTGGACTGTGGCAGTCTAGAATGGCTACAATGCCAGTAGTTGGAACAGCTTATCTGGGAGAGAATGCTACGTGAGAGCAGCAGATGTACCAATAATGGAAATCATCAGCCCTCACACAGGCAGAAAATGTATAAGGAGCACATAGAGCCTTTACAATTGTGAGTTTTTTCCAGTATTGCATGTTTCAGAGGAGAATGGGAAACCTTGGAAGTTCTAGGATATTTGGAAGGGATCTGGAGACACTAATGTGGGATTCAGGAGTGTATAGGGAGGATTGATAAACCAAAGTGGAAGATAATGAGATTGTGATTGTCTGGGTGGAAGGAGAAACGTGCTAATTGCCCTATGAAGAAGGAAAGAGTGGAGGTATTGATTTCTCTGCAAGGACGAAGTAAAACGTGTATCCAAATTACGGGGGGGTAGGTGAGGAGGTCAGCAGTGTTCAGTAGAAGGCCCAGGATTATTTTGGTGTATAGATTTTGTCAAGGAAGCTGTCAAAGAAAAGATATCAGGGAGATGGGGAATAGTTTAGTTTAGATTTGCTTTCTGAAAACAAATCAGGAATGGGTGAGAGCATTCCAAAGGCTAAATGCCTGGAATAGGTAGTCTCTGGTATTTTCACAGGCAGTGTGGAAAAAGAGAGCCTCTTGAAGAATATAAAGGAGCTGACTGAAAAAGAACTAAGAAATAAATTGACACAAGCTTTACCTATACCAAAAAAGAACTTGATAATGTCAAAAGCAGGAAAGTAGTGAAATTCAGAAGATGTGATTTTCCTGAATTTGTAGTGATTGCTAGAGTACACTGATTGGAAGAGGTGGTTTTAGTGGAGTGAATCTTCACCCCCAGTTAACCATCATAGTTGTGCTGAAGCAAGTGCTAGTTCCATGTACAGCTAGACAGGAATGTTCAGTGGAACTGTGAAATTGTAAGGCATGTAATCAGCAGTTACACTTGTTTACAGATACTTTAGTAACCTCCCCCAGTGGGTTGTAAATCTGCATATAAAACACAATCTGATAGCATCTTCATTACCAGCATTTTATTACTGTATGCTGCTTGATGAGAATTTGCCTTGATTTCTCACTCATTTTAATAGCACGTTATATCTTCTATTGTTTTTGTTTTTTTTCTGAGTAGAACTGTGCAAAATGCCACAGGGAGCAATCCTGAATTGTGAAGGAGATCAGGCAAGATGACCTAACAGATCTTTCAGCTTCTTAATTTGGAAACTACAGAAGTCATGTAGGGCTTGGTAGCTATTGAAATTTGTTACACAAATTTGTGATTTGTGACAGTCTTCATGCTGCAGAATGAATCAGCAGCAAAATGTCAATATTCTTAGATTTTAATTTTTTCCACAGTTCTGCCATTTATTTAACTTTTAAACTTCTT